AAAAGATATATACACATGAAATTTCTGATCTTTTGTATAAAATAAAGGGGAAAATAAAGAGAAGTGAACCGAGGTTCATCGTCTGGAGCTCGGTTCATTCAGGAGGCTGCGCTCGCCTCAGAGGGAAATCAAATTACACACACGGTGAACACGTGCGTCCACATATGTTCGAGAAACACACACCTACAGACCGGCCGGATTTCCTCCAATTCGACTCTGGCCTCTGAACTCACACACGCACAGACACACACAGACACACACACGCTCCACACAACCCCAGGGGTGAATTATCTTAGGGTGAGATTGAGCGTGAAATGGGTTAATTCTATTTACATGTCCTGAACCGGCACTGACTGACACACATACATGAACACACAGGTAGGTCTGTCTGACAGAAACGTCTCAGAGTTCAACACAGAAGACAACTGGGAACGATTAGAGGAGAGGAGGAGAGGAGGAGAGGGGAGAGGGGAGGAAAACAATGGAATGAAGGCAATGAGTAGGGAAAAAGTGATGGAGGGTGAGGAAAGGAAAGGTAATAGAAGGTGAGTAAAAGAAAGTAAGGTAAGGAAAAGAAAAGGCAATGAGTGAGAAGAGGAAAACTGATGGAAGGTGTGAAAGGAAATGAGAGGAAAAGAAAAGAAATAACGGGAGAGGAGAGGAAAATAAAGGAAGTGTAGATAAGGAAAGCTGAAGAATGAAAAGTGAGGAAAGAAAAGGCCACGAAGAAATGATGAGAAGGAAATGAATCCTCAAAAAGGAAAAAGGGTTGAGGAGAGGTAACAGAGGGAAAGGTTGAAGCAAAGGTGATGATGAGTGAAGAGAGGACACGTTATGAAAGGTGAGTGAAGGGAAAGAAAGAGAAGAACAAATGACACTGAGTGAAAAGAGGAAAAACGAGGGAAGGCGAGAGGACGGAAGGTAAATAAGGGGAGGTGAGGAAAGGAAGGGAAAGTGGAAAAAGGAGAGGAAAACTATGGGTTAGTGATAAGTACCCAAGCAGAAAAGGAGAGAGAGAAGTGGACACAACACCAGGTGATGCTTCTTCTGCATCCTCCCTCCCTCTGCTCCTCAATCCCTCCCTCCTTCCTCCCAGCTAACGAGAGGCGTTCATCAAAGGGCTCGTTAAAAGCTACTCGGCTGCTAACGGCTGAACAAATAGACAAGAGAGAAAGAAAGCAGGCGAGGTGGAGGGAAGGAGGGAAGGAGGGAAGGAGGGAAGGAGGGAAGGAGGCTGGCGGGGTCAGGCGGAGAAACAGACGAGGGGAAGGGGGTGGTGAACAATCAAGGACGAGGAATGAACGAGGGAAGAGGAAAGGAATGCAGACAGATGAGAAAGACAGTAAAATATTCTAATAAAAGCTTCTGTCTCCCGTAAACTACACAAATCAATATCGTTAATGTCAATATTAAAGTCGCCCAATGGTTTTGTTTACTTATCTATCAGAGAAGTTTTTGAACACAGCGAGGAGTCGGTGTAGTCGTTTCCACATCACGTCTGTGCTTCACTTCAAATAAAAAAATTTAAAAAAGGCTCAAAAGACTTTTGACAAATTCGTTAGAACGACCAGAACCTTGTATGTGAAGCTTTTCAGCGTAACAACAGATTGATGAGCGTTTCCAACAAAACCGCTGCTCCCAAGTGCTCCCCGCTGACTTCGGCTGCATGATGCCAGAAGCAGTCGGAGCTCGGAGAACGCACCAGCGCGGTGAGTCCTCACGATGCCATAACGCACTGATTCACGACTCCTGGAAGGGATTGGACATGGTGTATAATACGCTCTCCGTCCATCCAGAAAGCTGTCAGTCAAACCGAGAGCCGCTCGGGGCAGCCAAAAGTCAAGAGGTGCAGGGATCACAGCAACAACAAAAATAAATATAAAAATACGATACTGGCGTGCGACACCCCGGAGTTCCTCCGACTAAACCTGTGGCGTGGCGTTCTGAGGGGGGTTACAGGTGCTCGTTCTGATTCATGACCTGGAATTCTGTGCTCGTGTGTTTGAATTCACACAAAGTCGACCTCGGAATCACCGTGGAGGGAGAGACGCTCCGGGTTTAGCCTCGTGGCACGAATTGAGATTGTTGCCGTTATGGCAGGTTTTAATTCATGTCACTCAGGAATAACACCACAAAAATGAAGTCTGGACTTCTGGGTGCAGTTTGTAGATGTTTTCACTCCGAGTGTAACCTTGACACTGACACACACACACACACACACAAAGAGCCAGTGCAAGCAGCTTCACCTCAAGGACTCAAAACCACATTTGATCTGACAGACACCAGAGTTGGAAATTTCATTCTGTCTAATGGAACAAGTGGTAAATCCCTTTATTTTTTAAACTGGCTTTTTTTCTTTTTCCTCTGCACACGACTGTATAACAATTTCAAAGACAAATATTTTGCTCATATTCAAGTTGACAATCTTAATTTGAATGTTTTTTTTGTTTTTTGTTTTTTTTTCCTCCATTTGGATCCTGCGAGTATGTGAGAGCACAAGTAGCGAGAACTCAAAATACTATTTGTGGAGCATATGTTGCATAAGCGTAAGTTATAGTGCTTCAAAAAAAATATATAAATACAACACACACAAGAGAAATAAGGGGGCGGGGGGGACTGGGGGCTCCACATGTTATAAATACTTAACAGTAATATGACTATTCCTGTATTTACTTTTTGTTTTTGCGATTTTGTAAAGAAAACATAAAAATATCAAGCTTTAATTACATTTTTCTATCATAAGAGTCCAATAGAGAAATCTTGATTCCAGTGTCTGAATTTGAATTTGGGAGAAACGAAAGAACGGAACAAAAATGTTAATTTTACTTTTTTTCACTTTCCGTAGTAAAACCAGAGAAACTGATAATCTCATAATTTTTTCCGGAGCTGTATTCTGGCCAATATCGGTATCGGATTTTTTTCTTTCTAATATCCAGTTCTCAGGCCCTGGAGTAGATCAAGTTTTAAAGTCGAGCTGAATGTCTGGATGATGTTAACCTGCCAAAAGTTTCTTGAACATTTGCCCAATCAAAAATGGCGTTAACACTCGAAGGCGGCTGCGTACGATACGGACACACGAACACAGACTCAGGCAAACGTGCATCACTTCCTTTTCATCCCACATGCTGGTTTGGTCAACTCAAGGTGCGTTGTGGGGTGTGGGGAGGTGTCGAGGGGTTTAAATTCAAACGGGTCAACAAGGTCAGTCAGGGATTGGTAAACAACACTCCGTTACCACAGCAACCACAGATACTCACCGGTAAGGTAGCGTGTTCTGTTGGCGTTCCCTATGGTAAAAAAACATAAACCGGGAGATTTAGCCCCTGGCAGAGCCACTGAAACTGAGGTGTTATTGATGGGAGACATGAAAAGTTACAGGAAACTGAAGCACGAAAAATAAAAGCTCCTGAATCAAATCGCTGCGACGACACTAACAGCTTTTTCCACCTCTGTATTTATTGCACACGGGCCCTTGAGATGATGCTAATCTGACTAGCTGGCGGTCGGTGGATGCGTCGCGGGGAACTCCCCGACGCACAGAGGAGAAGCCGCCGCCAAACGCTTCTCGGAGCGCTGCGGGAAAACGATCAAGGAGCTTGTGAGCCAAAAAAATTGGAACATTACAGGTCCAAGAACTTCCTCTCTGATTTTCATGCGATTAGTTTCACTCCCAGGGCCCTTCCCCGTTCCATCTTTGAATCCGAGCTCAATTTGATTATGCGTATTTAGCGACACAGCGCTGACCTCTTGCAGTATTATTAGCTCTTCGATATGGCAATGTTTTAATCTCTGGGAACTGGGACGCCGAGACGTGTGCGAGCTCCTCTGGAGTTGTTCAAGGAATCTGAGCCTGCTGCCGTTTCCTCAGCACGTCTGCTTCCAAACAGTTAAATTCACAGACGTTAGAAGAAAACACACGCGCAGAGAATGTGGCAGATCATCGCAAGAATGTTGCTGTGTCATAGTGAGAATTCACTTGATTCTAATCAGTGACAGGTCAGCGTGTGTGTTTGTGCTTATTCCCCGTTGCATAACCTCTTGGATTTTTATTTTCTCAGAGTCATAAAAACAACACACGGCCTCTGATCGTGGATTCTTGGTTTTAGTACAATATTTATCTTCCAGTCTGCCCAAACCGCTCTATTCCCTTCTGGTCGAGTTCTACGAAACCCGGGACAGTGTCGTCACACACCGCTGTGATGCAACGGGTCTTCAAACGCAGCCTCTGATTCGAGACAGCGAATCACACAGATCTGAGAGCCTCAGTTCAAACCGAGTTGTGGGCGCACAACGCTGCTGCTCAACATGAAAATACACACGCGCGTCATTTCTGATGGATATGCTGCTCATGCACTGCAAAGGCACAGAGGCAAATAATAACATTCACTCAGGAGCAAAAATCAGCTGGTTCAGCAGCGGCGGCACGATGCGTCCAAGTTTGTGGAAATCCGGTTATTTCAACGCGCCAGAAAAAGGTCACTTCAAGTCACAACGTGAGCCGTATGAAGACATAACAGTGAAATGTGACAAGAATAATGAAATTTCTGACTCGGCAAGATCACGATTAGATTATAAAATCTATTTTTGGTCGGTTAAGATCTGTGCGAGATACTGTAGATGTAGTAAAATGAGCAAGACTTAATGAGCACAAGCTGATACCTGTGTAGTAGCAACAGTATTAACATCAGCAGTATTTTTTTTATTCCTGCTTCTCCTGCCTTCAATAGTATCGACTTCATTTCTGAGTAACTCTAGTCTTTTATACGATCCCCTCTGTTTCAGAGGGTCATACCACCCAGCTTTTTAGATCCATAGCATCTGATCTACTTAGGAGGCCCCGCACCATGTGTGAGTGTGTGTTTAAGTGCGTGTGAGTCGGGGTCATGTCCGGGGCTCATGGGGGTGTAGGAAAAGCTTCTTAGAAGTGCTGGAAAACACTTAGCTCAACCACCGTGTGTGTGTGTGGCCTTATGGCCTTGTGACCCGCTTAGACCAAATCTGTGTGTGTGCAATCATCTTAGAGCTAACCCGAGTGTGTGAAGGAAGTTTTACGAAAACTGTCCGTGTGCATTTTTTTTTTTTTACAGGAGCGGAATAAGAGTATATAGCTCACACGGAGGGTTTAAATAATAAAGTGTGGAAGGAGTGTAAGAAAGAAATAGTGTTTTAAAGATGGACATTTAAAATTCTGGATTAACTGATGAAAATAAACTCAACTGAAAGACAAATTCAGAGCGAGAGAAACATCTTGGATACGAACGTTTGCCATTTAGAGTCTGAGCAACAGTGATCGATCTGAGGAATGAATCAAAAACCTCAGTCACAGCTATTTTGGTCCACGTCCCATCCTCTCACATGGAAGAGGTGTAGTTTATGAGCTACATGTCTCGTCACGCCACTGGAACCCAATGAGCCAAGGCCCCCTGAACCGAGACACAACTTACTCCAACCGTCACGTGTTCTCCCGTCACTTTCTCTCCTACACGGGCCTTTTGACCTGAAATGATGGGTCACATGATCAGTTTAATCCGCCCACAGAGGATGGAGGTCGACACTTTTGGGTGATGGACGGCGTGAAGGATTACACGAACCGAATGTGAGAAGTCACAAGCAGCTTCTATGGTTATTAATCCAGAATTTTAGCACCGTCGCCTGGAACTAAAATCTTTATTTAATTTACCAGGAAACTTTTTAAGACGCTTAATGGATGAAATTATTTCTTTACACGTTACATTTCATTGGACTCCACAGTGAACTGTATATTAATGGTGCGACATGAAAATCCTGACGGAGCGTTTAATGTCATCACGGCCAGAGTCAATAGTCTGAGCCGCTGTGTAATCTCGTGCTGCTGACCCGAGCAGCTCGACCCTTTAATGAGCTTAACGGGCCCCATGTTAACGATCTAACCCGTAACGAGCTGATACTCTAACGAACTAAAGCAGATTGTCCTGCCCTGTGATGTCTCATGCTAACATGCAGGGAGACGGCTAAGGGGGGCTTTATATAACACGCACACACGCACACACACACACACACACACACACACACACA